TCTTCTAGCTCCCTGTTTCTAATCTGTTAGGGAGTGAGGAACCAGTCCAGATAACAACGTTGATTAGACTGGTTGGTCCAGCAGAAGTAGATAGATTTTAAATAAAGGCTTGGATAATTCTTCTAGGGGTAAACACTTTCTATCATCTTTATTTTTAGGAGTATGGTAGGGGTTTTTGCTGTGCTGCTCAGATCCTTTTATAAGACCAGTTGTCTCGTCACTCAGTTGCTGTGAGTGTTGGTGACCAATGACTTCTAGCCGCACCCTTCACTGAAGACTGGCTCTTGGTCCCCGGGAGCTCCTCCACCCAGAAATGCCTCTGGGTATGGCCTGCAGCCAACTATTAACTCAGGGGGATAGAAGCCCCGTCCTTCTGCCTGGAGGTGGGACAATTCTGAGGCCATCCTTGTTCTAGAAATTCCCACAGGATTAGGCAGAACTTGGACTGCAGCTGCACCCACACCCTCACTTTGCTTCTCCCATGCCCTGTCTTGCTTCCCTCTCTCCCTGTAAGTCTCCCTGTGAGCACTTGCACAAGACTCCCCATCCCAGCCTGTGATTCCAGGGACTCCAGCCTAAGAGGCTTCCCCGCGCCCCTGCCGTTCATACTCTCAGCTGTATCCCGGAGAGGTAAGGGAACAAAAGACCCTTGTCCTCCTCCCTATCCCTTCCTTCAACCTAACGTTAAGAGAGAAGGGTAGCCTAATAATGCAAGAAAGAATGTGTAATGAGAAAAAAGTTATTTTTGCAAAAGATATATTAGAAATCCATTCATGTGTCAAACTCTGACTTAAAGCCTACCTTATGAGTCACTGGACTAGGGTCTGAGAATACAGACGTAAAAGACACAATTTCCCTTCACCTCGCCCTTTTGAGAAGCACACAGTCTGATGAGGAAACCAACAAGTAAGCAGGACAATTACCAGACATCATAATAAATGCTGTTATTCATGTCAGAACTCATTCATTCATTCAAGAAATCTTTCTTAAGCGTCTACTATGTGCTAAACTTTTGGGGGTCTAAACAACCCAGAGGAAAAGATTGTAGAGTCAAAAGGCTGGAGAAGACATGATCATTTTTTACATTGGAAATGATACTGGAGCTGGTTCTGATGGAGTGAGCGAGAGTTTCCCAGGTGAATAGAGTTAGGGATGGTGTTCAGGGGGCAGGACAAAGTCCTGAAAGAGTGTGGTGTCTTGGGAGTCGGGGACTTGGGAGAAGTGTGTCATGGCAGGAGATGAAGGAAAGAAGGCAGAGAAGAAGGCAGGGGTGGAGGTGAAGAGCTTTATCTGCCAGGCTGAGAAGTTTGGGTTTTATCCTTGTAGGAAATTTGCAACCAAGAGAGCCTTATGAACCTAGGAATGTGTCCCAGGCCATTTCACTAGGAACATGACTGTCATCTACAGGGAGAATGGGGCAGGGGGAGGGCTGGGAGCTCACAGCTTGACAAGCAGATGCCTACATCAGGCTTTTGTGTGCAGTGCCCCAACTGCACAATGGTATACGACAGTCCTAGTGACCTGTGACATCACGGCTTAGCTATGGTGCCTGTGGCCCAATCTACATCTCTGCCAGGAAGAAAAGAAAGAATTCCTTAAGTTCTCCATCTTGAAAATTTGACCTGTAAAGAACTTGAAATTCTCCTGCTGAGTGATCCTTGCCTTAGAGGCAATTAGCTATCTATATATGACTGGATAGGATCGAGAAACATCCAAGAGAATCTTTCCCCAGACCCCATACTCAGCCATCATTGCCAGAAAATCCACAACTGTAGATCCAGCCCTTATGACCCACCAGGTTCTCATCCAGCCTGGGCAGTGGGTATCAGCAGAGAGGAAGGGGCCAAGAAGAGAGATTGTGAGCTCGATGTGGCACAGTGGGGACGTGGAGGTAGTGGGGACGGGGAAGGGCACTGATAGAGAGGGAAGGGGCAAGAATCAGAGCTTGAGGGAGGTGATAAATGTACATTTTCCTTCCTTTACAATGCTGCAGTGGGCAGGTTCTGCCTGCTCAAATTTATATAAATAACACTTAATATCAAGTATTTTGATTGTTTTATTGTGGGGAAAATTGATTTTCCCCAAGAACAGATTAGGTCATTCCTGCCTTTGTTCATATTTGCTGTAATAATAACAACAATAAATGAACATGGTTTGAACAGTTATTATATGCCCGGCATTGTGCTAAGAGCTTTGCCTACATTTACCTTGTTCTCCCGAAAACCTATGATGGAGGTATTGTTAGTACTCACTCACTATGGAGTAGGAAAGTAAAGCCTAGAGAGCTCACTAAACTTACTCAGAGTCACACAGCTGGTGCGTGGCATACCCAGGTCAATCCGCCTCACTCCAATGTCAATACTTAAACTACTGTGGTGCTACATGGCTTTCCCAGCATTGGTTATTTGCTCCTTTCTCCACCATTTCAAATGTTTTTCATCCTTCAAGGCCCATTTCAAGTTTCCTTCATTCACTTAACTGATGTTTTTGAGCACCTTCCACGTGTATTGTGCCCTAGTCCTTCATGGAGCTTTCCTTCACGGATTTCTACCTTCCATAAACACCTTTGAGTCTTTAAGGTAGGGAGCAAATCTTATTATGAATACATTTGTATTGTTCTCTAAATATTTTTAGTGGTTTTATTTTGTTTTCTCTCCCCAAAGGTTTTAAACAATCTCCAGGTCAGGATGAAGTCTTCAAGGTCCCCATCTTCTCAACAGCACCCAACACAATGTTGGGCCGATGCTTCAGGAAGCCCTTGACTCAGCTCATCCAGTGGCTGCATTTTAAGGAAGAAGAAATGCATGTGTGGATCTGATAAGGTCTGAGTGATATCTGGAGAAGAAGATGCCCTATGAGTGACGATCAGCTCTGTTTATTACTTAAATCCACAGCAGCAAGCCAAGATAACTGTCGCAAAGTCTGTGGACAGAAGTTCATGAAGATCATTGCTTGACAGGTCAGGGTAAAGGTCTCTTTCTTTCAAAATATGTGAAGGGGCAGGAAACGTGTGCACCAGGTGTTTTGTGTTCATGGCTGCCTGGGAAAGATAATTCTGTCTGCTTGATAAGAACATTGTGCTCTACACATCAGGTTGTTTTTCCAGGAGCTATTTTCTGCCCATAAAAACGAGCATTGCTGGCTCTCAGCTTCTTTCCGCCAATCCCACGAACTATAAACAATAACAAAAGGTATCTTATATTTATACAAAGCTATCCTCAGAAAAGCTCAAGGACCTGAACGAAGCTTGTTTTCATATACAAGGGTTCTTATATAATCCCCAAGGGGGAAGGGAAGAGAGGGTGACAATTGAGTTAGGAATGTTGTCATTTCTAGTGAACAAAACAGAATAGTGAGGCCCTATGGCATGATACACTGATAGAGATGACCAGGACAGGAAGTTCGTCTTCCAATTTCCTGTCTGGAGTTCTGCACACTGGGCCACACTGCCTTGTCAGATATCTGAAAACCTGGAGGAGACGACTGGAGGGGAAAAATTGGGAGAGAAAGCCCAGCCATGTGAGAAGGGATGCTGCAGTCTCACTGCATTTTAATGCCTTGTTTTCACTGGTCAGGATCTGGCAGCTCCTAGAGTGTGTGTCCCTCTTGTCCTTGGTAGAACTGATTCTGGGGAGAATTTTCATCACCCTCATTAAGAGTTATAGCTGAATCATAGTAGATTTCATAGGTCTGGCTGGTGTAGAGAAAGAGCCATCTGAGCAAAGGGCATTCTGTAAATATTTATTTCAGGCTTGGATACAAAGATGAGTAAGGTATAAGCTCTGCCCTCAATAAGTGTATCGCCTAGCAGAAGAGACAGACACAGGATAAAAGAATCTACAGGTGCTGGATGAATGCAATAATGGGAAGGCAGTTACTTTTGACTTTGAATTTAAGTCAGGACCCCATGGCGCTAGGACGGGGGCATTTTGGCTGGAGTTGGAACAATAAGCAGGACTGGTTTTAAGGGCTCTCTTCTACAATGCATTAGAGCAGTAGCTCTGTATTAAAATCACCTGGGGACGTTTTAGAACATGCCCCCATCCCTAAATAATTGGATTAAATTACTCTGAGTGTAGCCTGGGCATTAGTATTGTTGAAGAGCCCCCAGGTGATTTTACTGTGCAGCCCAGATAGACAATCAGAAAACAGGCTGGGCTTCGGAATTTGGCAGCCTTGTTCTAGAGCCCTGTGACCTTGGGCAAGGCCCATTGTGGGGGCAGCGTGAGTCTTCCACAACTTCACTGTTTCCTCCAACTTCTCCCCACGCCTCTGAAGAAACTCTGCATGGGCGAGTCCCTCCTCTGTGACAAACTTTCCTTGACTGAAGAACCCTGGGCTGGGAATCAGGAAAGTTGAGTTCCATCCCAGCTTTGCCACTGAGGTGCCTTATGGGTTTGCTGGGTCACATAAGAAGATAAAACAAAGACATTTAGGATTACTATTTACAAGACACTCAATGAGCTAGGCACTCAATGCATCTCTGGGCCTCAATTTCCCTATCTGTTGAGGTTTCTAGATGAGTATTTATAGATCATAGTGACCAGACCATGACCAGAATTATTTTAAAAGAGTGATACAAAACGTAGCAGAAATGGACTATGACCAGAATTATTATTATTATTTATTTATTTATTTTTGTGAGGAAGTTAGCCCTGAGCTAACATCTGTGCCAGTCTTCCTCTACTTTGTATATGGGATGCACAGCTAACAAGCAGAGCAAGTCCTTACCCGGGATCCAAACCTGCGAATCCTGGGCCGCCAAAGCGGAACACACAGAACTTTAACCACTCAGCCACTGGGCTGGCCCCAGAATTATTTTTATTTTATATAAACATAGTAGAAAAATGGAGCGCACTGCATAGGACAAGTATTGTGAAGTAAATTTTTTTTCTCAGTTATATATATTTATTATACAAATATTATATTTAGTATGTATTTACTGGGTCATGATGTAAAATACATCTGATGTTGTGGGTTGTAAGATAAAAAGTTTGAGAGTGCTCCCTTCAGCAGCACATAGACTAAAATTGGAGGGATACAGAGCAGGTTACCGTGGCCCCTGTGCAAGTGTGACTTGCAAACTCATGAAGCATTCTATCTTTTTTTTTTATGTTATATGTTTTTTTACCACAATTTAAAAAAAACAGCTTTGAGAAACATGGGGTTAGATGCTCTCTATGGTCCCCTTCCTTCTGCTCTGTAGCCCATGACTACCCCAGCCTACTAGAAACTCGCCTTTCTGTGACCTCCTTTGAATTATTACCATGTGATTCTGGCCCACCATTTACTTTTTTAAAGAGGGAGGCAGGATGGTGTAGTGGTTAAAAGTACCCTATTGAATTAGCTAGGTCTATGTCTGACTTTACTTTCTTCTCTTATTAGTTGAATGACCTAGAAAATGTACCCGACCTCTCTCAGCCTTGTGTTCTCAAGGGGATAACACGTAGGATGCATGATGGTTACAGAATTAAATACGATGCTGTAGGTAGAACTCTTAGCACAAGCCACCTTGTTCACAGAAAGTGCTCAGCGTACGGCAGCAATTATTATGTCACTTCCCGTTCTACCGAGATTTTAAGGCACAGTCCGCAATTTAGTGCCTGGCACATGCAAAATCATAAATACCATATGCTTATTTGACTAGAAAAACAAGGCTTCCAGCCTCAAGCAGATCCTAATGCTGGCAGGCAGGCATTCTCTGTTGGCATGCCCCATTACCCTACGAGACTCGGGAGGAGAGGCAGGGCATTCTGTGTCCTCTACCCACACGTCCCCTTTGGCTTTTTTCCCTGACATGGTCAGCTGGACCTGGGAAGGCAAGGCAGAAGGAGGCAGATCTGGCTATGATTTGCTTCAAAGATCAAAATGACCCTGACATTTCAGTGCCATCAGAATCAAGACAGATGGAAACTCAGGATCAGCTGTGTCACAAACTGGGCATCTACCTGAGAAGGTTACAGAAAGAAGCATAAGCCAAAGAAATAGAAAGAGCTGGTGGCCAGAACACTGAGAAACTGAGGGGTAAGACCCAGACATACACCAGGAATAAACAGCCATCTTCAAACAGTCAACAAATGAGCAACTCACCAGGTCCTAATTGCCTCATAGGCTGGGAACCAAGGAATTGACTTGTAAATGATTAATTTCAGGAAATACCAACTAATCAATGACTAGGGCTTCTGTGTAATAGTTTCCCCAGATTTATAGGTGGTGATTGTGTGAATTGGATCATTGATTCTAGAATGAGATAAGCAGCAATATTGGTAACCTAATCTACTTACTCCAAGTAGCTACAAAGAAATTAGCTGCCCTTAGTGGAAGCCAGCCCATTACTGAAGAGTGAAAAGAAGCCCATTCATCATGGCGGAGCCTCACACCAACCCGTCTCCCTGGAGCATTCAGCTATGCTGAGAAGATGTTGACGGAGAAGGGGATAATGATCCATAAGTACATATATGGAAAAGGGGGTGCAAGTGGCTGAGGGAAACCTCGTGAGATTGCACAGGGAAAAAAATGGGCCTTAAAATGATAAAAATGGTAAAAGTACAATGTTACAAAGACTATACAAATAGTATTCGAAAGAATAGGACTGTTGAAAGTAGCACTCAATGCTAGTGTGTTTTTTTCTGGAAGAAAACTTAGTTTGAAATTGTATGGTGAAAAAGAAAAGAAAACGTATGTGAATAAGGTAGCCCCACCTAAAAAAATGTTGCTAACACAATAGTTTTTCAGGAAAGAAAAGGCAAGGATGCCTGGAAATAGCTGCATCTAATCAGCCCCCATCCCAAGCAATCAACTGAAGTCCAGGAAATTCCATATGTAACCAGAAGAATAGACATCCTGGAGCATTTTGCCACAGTTAAGATTAGCGGAAACAGACCCCCATCAGCGCTAGTAACAAAGAAAAATTAAAGGTGAAGAAACTGCTGAGGCTCCCTGTGCCTCTCTTCTGGGAAGGTGCTCATGAGGGCGAGAAGGATGGGAATTAGGACAGAAGCAGTTGCCCTGGCCATGCTGACAGCCCTCTGTTCTGAGACCACTCCTTCAACAGCAATGCAGACCGTTGTATTTTCTCCAGGGAAAACAATGCAAACAGTGACTAGGGCTCAGCGGGTCCTCCTGACATACCTTAACAATCCTTAAAAAGGTTTGTTAACATAGCAATGGTTTATGTTTAGCACTTTTTGGAGCTTAATTCCCTACTGAAAGGTCATAAAGATATTCTACTGTATTTTTGCCTAAAAGATTTAAAATTTGCCCTTTCACAATGAATTCCTCCCTCTCTATGAAATTGAAAGACACAAAAAGCACAAGCCAAAAAGGAAAAGATGAATACATTTCACTTCATTAAAATGAATAACTTCCACTTACCGAAAATATCATAAAGAGAGCAAAAAGATAAGCCACCAACTTGGAGAAAATATTTTTAAAAATTATTTATTATTTATTAATTTTATTTATTGCAGTGACATTGGTCTATAACATTATATAAATTTCAGGGGTACATCATTATGTTTCGATTCCTGTAGATTACATCATGTTCACCACCCAAAGACTAATTACAATCCATCACCACACACGTGTGCCTAATCGCCCCTTTCGCCCTCCTCCCTCTCCCCTTCCCCTCTGGTAACCAACAATCCAGTCTCCGTCTCTATGTGATTGTTTGTTGTTGTTTTTATCTTCTACTTATGAGTGAGATCATATGGCATTTGACTTGGAGAAAATCTTGACACCAAATCTGACAAAGGACTAGGACCCAGAACATATGTAAGAATATCTACAACCCATCAGAAAATGTCAAAAAAAATAAGGTAATTCACAAAGGAAATATAAATGACTATTCAGTATAATTAAAAGATTCTCAACTTTGTTGGTAATCAGGGAAATGCAAATTACAATCATAATGAGATATTATTTTACAAGGTTTTGTCTACATGGACAAAATTATGAAGTCTGACAATACCAAATGTTGGTGAAGATGTGGAAAAACAGAATCTTATGTGCTAATGTTGGGTTTAAAATGATACAGTTTCTTTGGAAAACAACTTGGCGCTGTCTAGCACAGGTAAAGATTACATTTCTATGGTCCGGGAATTCCACTCCTAGGTGTGTAGCCTAGAGAAACTCTTGCATATGTGTTCTAGGAGACATGTATAAGACTGTTAATAGAAGCACTATTCAAATTAGCAAAAACACAAGCAAAGCTGAGCAAATATTGTTTGGGGATACCTACACTGTAGTCAACTATTGTTAAAAAGCAGGAGTATGATAAACACAAAATTCAGGAAAGCGGTTATGTTTGAGGGGGAAGGCAGGAGGATAGGAGTTGGGGAAGAGGACACAGCTACTTCCAATCGTATTGCTAACGTTCAGATTCTTCAGTTGGCCAGTGGTTTATATATGTTGCACTTATTCCATTGTAGGCACAGAATATTACATCATAAATTGCTTTTAATTTGTAAAAACACTGGGTGAACATAGAACAAAAATCTCTAATGGCTCAGTGCTAAGGCAAACAAGAGATCTTGGTAACTTCAGTCTCACTAAATAGGAGGGGAAGGGTCATTCTGAAGTGGCGGATTGCTCTCTGTGGGGGAAGGTCTGCATAATGTGCGTGCCCCCCGAGGTCTTCCCAGAGCGTGGCCAGCTGGCCTAGTGATCAGAACCTGCGCCCATGGTTACACCCTATTACTCAGGTTGGTAAGTGGCCTGAGTGGGTAAGTGGTGATCAGTTATGGAAAAGGCATGCTACTTAGTATATGAATGTTGTATGTGGTGAGATCCATCTTAGATGATTTTCCACGCAGAAAACTGAGGGCTGTTCTGGGGCAAGGCCTTTTGTTCTAATACTGGGGTTACTCTACTTTCTACCTTGATTGGGTAAATTTGACACTGAAGCAAGGCTGTTTTCTCATCGGTTAGCATTTTAAATTGTAATTCTAAAGACTCGTACTTGGGTCTTGACACTGTTAGACTTTGTAACCCTAGCACCACTCATGTAACCACAACCCTTTTTTATTGCTATCTATATCTTAAATATATTTGGGTCTTACTCTCCCAAAAAGATTATAAAGTTAATGTTTATAATTAGCTAAAATGGCAGGATTTTCTAAAGCCCTGTTTTGTTCATCCTTGATGCCAAAAACTTGGCAAAATAAGTGCTTAATTGGTTTTTTATTTTGAAAAATTATAAATTCACAGGAAGTTGCAAAAATAGTGCAGAGAGGTTCCATGAACCCATCACTCAATTTCCCCAATGATCATATCTTATGTAACCATGGGACAATGTCAAAACTAGGAAACTGACATTGGTATAATGTATGCATATAGTTCTGTGCCATTTTATCATGTACAGATTCCTGGAACCACCACCAAAGTCAAGATATGGAACTATTCCATCACCACAACCGTCTCCCTTTATAGTCATCCCCAGCTCTCTCTGCCATCATCCCTAACTCCTGGAATCTGCTTTTCATCTTTATAATTTTGTCATTTTGAGGATGTTATCTAAACAGAATTATATGTTATATGACCTTTTGAGATTGGCTCTTTTCACTCAGCAAAATGCCTTTGAGCATAGAGTTAGGTCATGTTTTTTTAATCCCCTCTGCCAACCTCTGTCTTTTCATTGGTGCATTAAGACCATTTACATTTAATGCAATTATCGATATGTTAGGGGTTAAGTATGTCATTTTATTTTATGTTTTCAGTCTATTTTCTTTCTGCTGTTCAGATAGGGTAATTTCTATTGTTCTATCTTCAAACTCACTGATTCTTTCTTCTGTCCTCTCTATTCTCTTCTTGAGCACATCTAATGAGTTTTTTAATTTAAATTATTATTTTTCAGTTCTAAAATTTCCACTTGACTATTTTTTATATCTTTTGTTTCTTTACTGACACTTTCTATTTTTTCATTTGTTTCAAGTATGTTTGTAATTGTTTGCTGAAGCATTTTTGTGATAGCTGCTTTAAAATCCCTGTCAGATTATGTCAACATTTATGTCATTTCTGTTTTGGCATTTGTTGATTGTATTTTCTCATTCAAGTTGAGATTTTCCTGCTGGAAATACTGTGCTGGTGGGGGAAAGTGGGCATTGTCTC